TTGTAATTCAAAAACAAACAAAAGAATGAAGCATAATGGCGTTTATGTCATCTTATGGAGTGCATTTAGCACTATCCTTACAAAAAACGTAATGAAAACATTTTGTACAGTTTTTGAGAAAATCTTGCTTTTGTAATATTTTAAAATTGCACATATTGCTCGCAAACTACTAATATTAAAAAAATACATGATCTCAATGAAAGAACTAACTAGGGAGAAAAAAGTTTACTTGAAGGAAAAATCTCTATTTTCAATTTTGTAGTTGTTGGAAAACGGCGAAAAATTCAAATTTTCGAAAATTGAGAGTTACGTATGAAAATAGGATATATGCCACATTTATAAGTGTATTTTACTGTACTTTTAGAAGCAATTTAAAGAAGAAAATTGTTACTGTTTTTGAGAATATTTTGAAAATGTCCGAGGGGTTTCATGCAAAGTACCCCTAATTTTTAAGGAATGTTTTTCAAAGTCTTAAAGCTTCGATTCGAGCCAAACGGATAGGGGTTTTTCATTTTGGAAAAAATTTTACGAGAGGTTTAAGCGGTAGTATTGTTCACGGGCGGACGGACGTTTTGAAAAAAAAAAACAACAAAAAACAAACAAACAAACAAACAAACCTTTTCGGTATCAAGGGACTCCAAACGTGTGTTTTCGTTGAAATCTCGAAATCGTTTTCCGCAGCATTACATAACTTTCCCTATACTTCTTTTATTACTCCGTATATACCACGCATCCATTTTGTGATAAGATGATTTTAATATTGCGAATGTGCGAATTATGCTTCAAAATAAAAACTTACCTAGTCAACAATGAAAAATCATCTGAAAAGAAAATGTATAAGATTATCAAGAGTGAAGCCCTGGTTCCAAAAATGTGTTTAAATATTCTCTAACACAAATAGTTTTTGAGATAGTGCTGTTTTCATATGGCGACTGGGTGAATCTTCAGTAGCTATTCCTTCAGAAACTGCTGTCCCTCGGGATGAAAGAAGCTGTTATGACTAACGTATCTCAATATAGGTAAAGAAGCGACAGAAGCAAGAATTTATGAGCTTCGAAAACTCAGTGTTCTAAATTTTCCTCTCTCAACATGATATTTATCTTTCCTCTTAATAAAGCTTGTATTAATTGTTTGCTTAAGAGGATGGGTAAAGCAATCTGTGGAGAATTTGTTTCTCTGTGAAAATTTTCCAAAAATTCTCTTTAAAGGAGAACAAATCTTCCCAAATCCTAGAGATTTTAAAAGATGGTGCGTTGACTCAACCGATGACTTCAGAAGAACAAGGTGCGTGGCCTAATTTTCAGTGGGTGTGTGAACATTTCTTTGTGAAAAACACTTCTTCAGTTTTTGATAGTGCAATAAAGACTTTTGTGTACATTTAAAAACTTTGCTGAAGAATGCCAATTAAGTTGCACTTTCTACACTCCCATTTAGACTTCTTCCCCGATAACCTCGGTGATGTGAGTGATGAACAAGGTGAGCGTTTCCACCAAAATATCAGAACAAGGTAGCAACGCTACCAAGGTTTTTGGAATGACTTCATGATGGCAAATTTATGCTGGGTGTTATACAGAGAAGATCCTGAAGCAGTTCACAAGAGACGTGAGACCATCACATTTTTGAGTAAGCTTTACTAACACATAACATTTGTAAGAAATGAAATATGATCTATTTTTAGTCTATTAAATCAATTTGCTGTTGTAGAAAACGGTGAAAATGACGCAAATCAGAATGCAAAACAGTTATCTGTGTTAGAAACTGGTTTAGGAAAATGTGCCTATATTTCTAACAATTACAACGTTTCAAGTTTCATTTTGTAGACTTGTGTTATAATTCATACTTTTCACCTCATGGTTATTTAATTACTCGTATCTCATTGTTTAACCGATCTAAGTCAAAATGAGCATTGGGAGTACAAATCTTGCGGTACTTTAACGGAACATTAATCGATAATGTGATTAAGATTGAAGATCAGGACACTTCGCAGGGAGGATCCGAACTTGGTAGCGTGTCAAGACAGCTTGCCAAGGTAATGTGAAGACATTGAAATATACGCCAGACTGAAATCTTACAGAGACAGTCTTCTACCTTCTTTTAACTTTTTAAAATGTTCAATGATGTGCAATGAAAAACGTGAATCAACTTTTTGAGCTCGTAATTTTGCGAACATTAAAAGAAATTTGTCAAAGGAAACGTTCTAAACGAACAATTAATATAGACTGAGATAAAAACGAGACAAAATAAATTTTTCTAAGATTCACAATAGCAAAAAGTTAGTGTTTCGTTTGAAGTAAATGAAACAGAAAAAAATATTTTTTCATATTTTTGTAATGTAAGAGTAAAAGAAATATTATTTGCAATTAACAAAGTTAATAGTGAAAATAATACCTATAAATAATATGACTTTTTATTGGGTGTTCGATAAATGTTATCCAGTATACATGTTTTTGTGTTAAATGTTGCTCTGATGAAGATGAACGGGGTCAAAGATAAATTAAGAAACATAAAGCCCTTCGGGAGCAAGATTTACTTTTTTACCTCGAGAGTATCATATGACGGCGAAAGCACCTGTTTTATTCATGTGTGAACTGAATAATTTCTTAATGACAATCTTCAAGTAAATCGTGATTTATGAGATGAACCATTCCAACAACAATCACCGTGATAGAATACTCATTACCTTCTGGAGGTGTGCCACTTTTGTTCAGGAGTCGGCAAAAATCGCGGGACAAATCCCTCACGCGTTTTTCTACGGCTTGCTACTAAAAATGAATTTAACATTTGCGAATTCTTTTGTATTTCATATAACGTTTTATAACGACTGGCAACCGAATGAGCAGTTGCGAACAAGACTGCATGCGACGCTCCGGTAGTTTCTCATTTTAATGTTATCAGGATGACGCCAGACCGTCGGTTACAACATAACGTACATGACTACAGCTACGTGTTTGTGTTATTCCTGAATAAGTAATTTGTATCGTATTTCCCTTAATACATTTGTTTGTAATTTATTTTCTTTAATACATTTGTAAAAAATTGTTTTCTGTCTATTATTAATCAGGCTTCTCTTCGACAACAGTTTGTGAAGGTCCTCTGCGTTTAGTAGGTATGCCTTAAATGAAATAATATTGTACTATGTATTGTATGTAATTTTGTGTTCTTTATTGTATTATATTATTGTATTAGATGTATAATTAATGTGAAGAATTTGCCACCGGGCATAATGCCCAAAGCAAATTAAATAAATTGTCTATCTTCGTGCCATTTTTTCGAACATCCTAGTAGTCATTTCCCGTGAATCATAGGCAATTTGTAAATAATTATTTTCCCCAAAACTGATCTAAAGTCTTCATTGAATATTGGAATGGAGGCTAAAAAAGAAAGCTAAATGACACAGGCCTAATTTTTGTCGAACTCTCTGAATTTTTGAAAATTTACAAACGTTAGAAATAATGTGAGAAAATTGCATATGCAGTAGGAGCGCCACAACGGATGTGTTTGTGAAGTTAACCTACTCCAGAATGCAACCAACATGACTTGAATTAAAAATCTCAAACATACTCAGGACTCCATATTGAGCTGACGTATTCACCTAGTCTGTCGAGTGTCCGCACAAACCAAAACCTCACTATGTACAAGACGAGAATCACAATCGCCGCCCGCGACGCTCCGTGAAGGCTACTAGTAGTTTACTGAGGATTATTACTTTTATAAACTATCGGTGATCACTTTCAGTGACATTACAAACTGCGTGCGCAAGGAAATAGCATCTTTAAACTTGAATACCATTATCCGTTCATCTTAAGAAAAATCCTGACGTAAACAAATCCCCGTGTGCTAGAATGAATCTCATTGGTTTGCAATGTGAGCTCTGCTGTTGTAGAAATCCTATCCCTAAAGTAAAGTAAATAGTAAGTAAATAGTTCTCTGTATAATAACTAATTTATCTTCCATCGTTCGTTAAATTAACCTTGCGTCAAACTATTACCACGGTTTCAAGAATGGAGACCATTCTGATCTGACTGCGTGTTACTTCACGAAAAGATTGCGAACTTGTGTCAGTTCAGTCCGTGAGCGTGTTGATCGACGTGGAGGCGCGTGGAACCTGGCTCGTGGGACCGAGGCGCCGCGCCGCCGATCGGCCTGCGAGGCTCTGCTATACAATTCGTTTTAGAATGTCTCAGTGTAAGGCTGGCTCTTCAATAATGAAACAAAAGTGTGAAAAATGTCTTCGGAGTAGCGAAAAGCGCATCGTTTTGAACGTTTACAGTTCGTTATTGCATTGTTATTGCATCCGTCGGTACGGGTAAAGCAAATTGCTGTGTTCACTGGAATATCCGTATCCAGTATATATTAACTTCGGAAAGAGCTCACTGACAAAGGAAAACTACAAACGCCAGAGAAGAAACGAAAGGGGAAGAAACCTATAATTGAAGAATACGATTACTTTGTAGTCAGTGTTGTTCGATAGAAAGTACAGTCTTTGCATCAAACGGACAAAAGTGCAGAAACGAAACACCAACGCTAGTGAAATTGTTGCAGCGTGTGGGTTGTAATCAAGAACTTCTGAATTATAGGTCAACCAATTTATACAAATTGATATCCAGTTATTGCCAACCACTTCCTTAAGCAGACTCATCGTAAGTAAAGTAGTTGCATGAGCATGACATTTGTGACAGCTCTTATTCCACTTGAATTGGCGGGCTGTGCTACTCGGGTCATCGAAAGTAGTGCGCTAAGAGGTGTCCAATCGGAAGCGTAGTGAGGTGCAAAGATTTCTTCAGTTTGCTTACATCAAGTTTTTTCTTAGGGTGAATGGATAATAGATCAATACACTGAGACCTAACAATTGATCTGTGCGTGACGGACAATACTTTTGAGAAGACTTAAGATTTATCATCGACCTATCACTCGATATCAGAGCTATCTTCCATTGTTATTCGCGCCTGCAACTAACAGGGCCCTAGTCAGTAGTCAGCGCTTGAATGTTTTCTGACAAGCAGCTACGCTCGTGCTCGGGCGACCAAAGGAGGATCTCTTCACAGTCATCGTTCTGGAAAGAATTGTTGTTCTGTTTCCAGAGATTGAACCGCCCCCAGGCAAGCTAGGAAGTTTGAGTGGTGTCAAAATCAAGGTGCAAGTATTTGAGACTCAAGATCGTTTCGACGAAGAGAACTGAAACAAAACTATCTCCTATATGTATGTTAATTATATTTCATTCTATCCATCATAATTCTTTATTATTTGCCAATCAAACAAATTCACTATCAGATCCTCTTGAGAAACCACTCAGTGTAAATTCGTAACAAATAAGTGTTATGAAGTCTTTCAAAAGGCAAATGTAACAAGTTTCTTAACGTGAATGTACAGTTTTGTAAATAAAAAGGACTTGGTAAAATAATCAAACCCTAAAGAACATCCGAATACCTTACACTCAAGTGCCTATCTCGGGCCAAAATACAATTTGATTAGAAAGTTGGTCGCGGTATAGGCCAGAGATTAATGTATCTTTTAATTCTCTCGGGTCTCAGAAAAACTATAACACCGACCCTTCTTTTAAAATAGGCGCCACAACTCTTAATCCCTTACAAAAATAACTGAATGAATCTTCATAATTTCAACACCAGAGAGCTCTTAAGTTCCATCATCACCTTGAACAACCGCGGTCCAATTAAAATTGTCACATGAAGCTCTTCGGGTAAAAATAATCTAAAGCATTACCAGGAAGATTCCCGGACGCGATCGCCCTCTCGTTCAAGAGATTATTTCAATTGTTGATTGCCACTGTAAACCTTCTTTTGAACTGCGTACCTTCGATAGCAAAAATTATGGGCAATGTCCTATGCAGCCAAATCTTACTTTTTCAAAGTGTGCACAACCACGGCAGGACACTCGACCAATCCTGGAGTCTAGACCAAAAAACTCTTTGTCATTGGTTTTGGCTCCGAGTTTCAGACACTTTCCCCTCCCTCACCTGAAGAGTTTCTTCCTCGTTATCTCAAAGAAGAGGAGCAATTTCTGAGATGTTCGTAAATGACGTCAGTGGCACTGCCTCGCAACCTTGGAGAGAGGGAGAGGGAAGAGAAGAGGGTACGAAAGTGAGTGGGAGTAGAAATGATTGGTAAGCATGGGCGCGAGAACCAACCCCCCAAATGCATTGGCCAGGCATGCGAACGCTGACGAACCACAAGGCAGTAGGTCACCGGGAGGAGCTATAGCATTTTTTAAAATTCTTTACCGGGAAACTTTAGCCTAATTTACGATACCTTTTACTGTGAGAAATTTAGTGCCGGAATAAACTGATAGTAAGAAAGATATTTGTTTCTTATAAACAATTTTAAAAGGTTAATTGAAAGCAAATGACACAAAATATTGTTGTA